CTTCAACAACCGAGTGTCTACAAATCAGATGTGGAACCACTTGCCGCCGACGGTTCCAACTTTGACAAATGGAAACGAGGCCTCACTCGAATCATTCTTCTCACTCTTGGACACGCCAACTTCTTCGACAAATCGGAGAACTACTCCAAACTATCAGACCAGGAGAATACCTGCCTCCTATTCCTTATCCAAATTACAATCCACGACGAACTCGCATCCCTCGTCAATCAATACACCAAGGGCACCGAAGCCTACGATGCTATACAGACCAATTTTCAAGGGACGCTTCGTTTTCGTCAAATGGAACTCGTCGACAAATTACTCGAGCTGCGCGTTTCAGGTCCATCCACCGAGCCCGCACAAATCCCCGGCCTTTTCAACAAGATATTTGAGACGTTCAACAGCCTACACAAAGTCGGTGCGGGTCTCTCTCCCCTCGTCGAAAGCCTCATCCTTCAAGCGGTTGTTCCTGCACCCTCGTCGATGTCTAGATCTCAACTTTTTCAAAATATATCTCTTCAACTCGGCAAGAAACCGGACGTCACAGCCCGCGACATTCAAACTATCATTACATCCGCCTATGGCGAATCACTCCGTTTCGACTCATCACCGTCCCCAAATGTTTCCGTCTTCCGAACCTGGCCCAACCAAAATCAATGGGCTAATTCAAACCAAAACCCGATCCGACCTCCCCGTCGAAACCCATTTCAACAAAATCAAGCGGGAACACAACCTCCAACATCGGCAACCAACAATAACCGCCAATCCAATGTGGGCCGACCTGGTCACCCAACCATCGAGGACATCGCCGCGGCAATCAACAACATTCGAAAGGGCAACCAAGGCCCTAGCGACCCCAACATATTCATCGGCAAGCCATGCTCATATTGCGGTGTGTCGGGACACTGGAGATCGTCCTGCCCGACGCTCCGCAGAGATGCCAATCTGCCTCCTCCCGACACATCAACGACTAGTCGCCCCGCTTCCGGTTTCGCCCGCCAGACAGCACCCCCGAACGACCCAGCCATTGGCACGAATTCTAATGCGGCAGTTAGATCGACGGTGGCCGCGGATGCGACGGGTGCTGGAGGCGCAGGCACGGTTTTGGATTCTGGGGCGACCCACCACGTGAGCGGATCTTTCCATCTTTTTTCTAACCTTTCTTGTCTCCGTCCACCACTCAAGCTCAACTTCGCTTCCTCTGATGGCTCCATGACCGCAACTCACAGTGGTCACCTGAAGATAACCAATGGGGTTGGTTCCCTAATGATCCCGCGGTTCCTGTACAGCCCGGAAATGACGGGAACAATTCTTAGTCTAGGACAACTAATTGACTCAGGCTTCAAACCTTCTTGCCTCCCGAACAATGACATTCTCTTAACGTCCTCTTTCATTTCTGTTGTTGCTAAATATATTAATCGTTCCTGGCTCATCTTTCCCACGTCTTGGCATCACATATCCAACTCCATCAAATCGGCGTCTGCTACTTCTCCGCCTCAGCTCTCTTCCCCCTCCTATGACTGGCATTGCCGTCTGGGACACGTCTCCGACTCTGTCGTAAAGGATTTCCTCAAGCGTTTTGTTCCAAACTTCAACATCAAACAATGGACTCCTTTCATCTGCGAATTGTGCAAGTCTTCCAAGAGTGAACGCCGCCGCCAATCACTTCCTGAAGTCATTCCCAAGGACAAACGCCTCGACCTCTTGGTGACAGACGTACTTGGACCATTGGACCCGGACATCAAAGGCAATCGCTTTCTACTTACCATCCGAGATCATGCCACTACATATTCTTTTGTATTCCCTATGAAATCACGATCCGAGGTCCCTGGAATTATCATTTCGCTTGTAAAACACATCACTTCTCATTTCCAATGTTCACCGCAATTCATCCGATGTGACAACGCGAAGGAATATACCGTGAAGGCCTTACACGACTACCTGGCGTCTGTTGGCTGCAAGATCATCTTCACCTCTCCTTATACTCCCGAGCAAAACGGCGAAGCCGAACGACTCAACCGGACTCTTGGCGACATTGCCCAAACTACGCTCACTCATTCTCACCTGCCGTCATCCCTATGGTCTTACGCTTATAAATGCGCTTGCTTCCTGACGAACCGCTTATCTAATACCCGATGCAATACCACCCCTCTAGAATTGTGGTCTAACCGTGAACCGAATGTTGCCTCATTTTATCCATTTGGTTCAAGGGCAACCGTCCACATCCCAAAGGAACGGCGTCGAAAGCTGGACCAGCGGGGATGGACTGGGTACCTTGTCGACTATCAAGACGACGAACGCGGTTCGTTCTTCTATGATCCAGAGACCAAAAAGATCGTCAACTCAGAGTGTGCAGATTTTTTAGACTTCCAAAACAAACCACTAATCCCCACTCCCGAAAAATTTCCTGACACGCATTGCGTTCGTAGAATACTTCATCTCGGCAAGGAACCAACTAAAGAAATTTGTGAAGATCAGGACATTCAAATCGACAACATCCAGGCCATATCCGATGCGGAAATTCCGACAACTCTCAAAAACGCCTTGTCGTCACCCAACGCGGCTCAATGGAAGTCAGCATGCATGACTGAATGGAAACAACTTGAAGACATCGACACTTTCGACATTGAAGATAAAGCATCAAAACATTCCATCGGCACCCGCTTCGTTTTCGACATCAAAAGGAAGGCCGACGGCTCAGTCGACAAACTCAAGGCCCGTTTCGTCGTGCGAGGTTTTAAACAACGTCTCGGCATCGATGTTCGCTCCACATTTGCTCCCACTGCTTCTCTTACTACACTCCGAATGTTACTCACTCTCTCCGTAAAAAATAAATGGACAATCAATTCCTTCGACATCACTGGCGCATTCGTACACAGCCCTATCGATGAGACAATATATGTCGATCCTCCGATTGAACTTTTCCCTCACATGGCCGGGAAAGTGCTCAAGCTGAAGAAGGCCTTGTATGGGACAAAGCAGGCAAGCCGGTGCTGGTGGAAACATTTCAAGACCCTTTTGCACGGCTGGGGATTTGATTGTGACGAGGTCGAAGAATGCTTATACCGCTACCGCAAAGGCGAGTCAATCATCATAATATGGATTCATGTGGATGACGGGATTGTCTTCAGCAACGACACGGCAGCTTTGGATCAACTACGTGAAAATCTTGAGGCAAGCTTACGGGTTAAATGGGACGCAAAGCCTGAAAAACTAGTGGGGCTAAAATTGGAATACTCCGACGACGCAATCTTCCTCAGTCAACAACTTCTCACTGACCAAACCATCAAGAAATTCCAAGACCAAATTCAACAACAAATCATTCCGACCCACACACCATTACTGGGGGACACTCTGGTGACAAATTGGGGTAACCCCGTATCTCCGACCCTTTATCAATCGTTCATTGGATCTTTGAATTACTTAGCACTCGGCACCCGCCCGGATATCAGCTATGCGGTCAACTACTTGGCGCGTTTCAGTTCAAATCCAAATGAGACACATTGGGCGGCGTTGTCTCATCTCATCCAGTATCTCGCAACCCACAAGGAAAAACGCATGAAGCTAGAGGCCAAGGATGATTCATTAGTAACGTGGTCCGACACCAATTGGGGAGGTGAATTCCAACGATCAACCTCCGGTTTCATCATCACTTTTATGGGGAGTCCAGTTGCATGGGGCTCCAGGCGCCAAAAGGTTGTAGCGACATCGACCTGTGTGGCGGAATTTATTTCTTTAGGATCCTCCGTTGATTTTCTCCTATTTCTCATTCCAATAATCAAATCTCTCGGCGTGAATCCACCACTAGTCCTGAAATGCGACAACAGGGCGGCTGTGCTGGTATCAGACGACAATGCGTCAAAAGGTCGCATGAAGAGTTTGGAACGTAATTTTTTCTTTGTCAATGATGCCGTCCGTGAACACAATATCAAGCTTGAATGGGTTTCCACTGCTTCCAACATAGCCGATTTCTTCACTAAATCTCTCCGGGCTAATCTCCACTCAATCTCTTTAAATAAAATATTCCCAAAAAAAAAAAAAAAAAAAACAATTTTCACATGACTGATTCTATTATGTTGGTATTTTCTTATTAATTACTAGTATATGCCCCCAAATTTGGGGAGGCTGCTTGTTTTTGCCCCGGATGTTGGGGATTTTACTTGTTTGAAAGTTGGTGTATGTCCTTCGCTTTTGAAGGTCGCTATGATTGTAAAGTCTTAAATGACATTGACATGTGCAACATCGACGCCGGCGTTAGAAGCCGCATGAGAAATCAATACAAAGGCTAACAGTTTGTTTGGCCCTCTGAGGCCATTTTTTTAGTTATATGTAGATCTTCAAATTTTTTTTCAAATTTTTATCTCCTGCTTTATTATTCTTGGTTTGTTTCATTTCTTCATTTTTTCTCATTGGCCATGTTCAATATTTTTCTTCTCACTTTCACATTTTTCATATTTTCTTGATTCTTTTTATATGTCTCTATCACTCTCATAGTTGTAGGCACTGGTGTGGAGTTTGAGGGGGGGTGTTGTACGGGTGAGCAAACTCCACAATTGGAGTATGAAGAAGACAAGAGGAGGAGCCGGGGAAAAGCAATGAACACTAGAGATTCCAGCTACAACAAGCTTCAATATCCTTGCGGACCACATCCAACATAACTCCATCTTTTTCAATAACTCTAACAACCCACAGGCTCCAGTGGAATACCAGTTGTTGGTAATGTTGACCCACCTGGGCCTCTCCGGAAATGGTGCCTCCCCCCACGTCTTAGCCCAGTTTTTCAATATATGTGGTGAGTTTGTTATATCTGCATGAACTTATTTTTTAATCTCTGACCATATCTCCTTGCTCCCTCAGAAGGGAGAGTCAAAAACTACACCAACCGCTGCATTCTGGCTATCATAGAATCTCTTGAGGCTGAATTGGTTTGCTGGCCAAATGCTGAAGAGAGGGCCACTGCAAATATATGTAACCGGGGGAGGGGGGGTCAGCGACCGTATTCAAGCACTGTGTTGTTTTTGTGGGATTACCTGGCTTAAGGTGAGGCCTGCATTATCAGTGTTGTCCAAATTCACATTGGAGTGAGTTTCCGCGCGAGCATCAACTAGTTTGTCCGCCCCATTCAAAGGAATCATCTCCGTTTCTTCAGGTCTGGTAAGAATAAGGGCCGCAGCAAGGTTGGTGCCACGTTTGTCACCTTGCTCATGGATATGCAGAGGGATTGCAGCCGGTTGGTCAACCATAATAGGCTCGAGCTCATAGAAGTATTTGCACTTCTTTTTTATTTCCGCCTCGGTTTGATTGCGTGCACGTTCCACAGGATCATCCTTGGGTTGGCTGTCGTCTACCAATCCAAAATTGCACTCCAGCTCCTTGGCCTTGTCCATTATGCCCTGACCAGTTTGATTTCTCCAAGCAAGTGCGTCACGAAACTTCCTCTCCAGGCCAGTGATCTAGGTGATGTTTTCAACCAATGCAATATGAGTATTGTAACGTTAGAGGCTATTCATTTGAAGTTAGTTCAGGAGAAAAATCACCTGCTGTTCAATTCTGTGCCATCCACGCAAGGCCGCACTGTTAGTCACCAAATATTGTGCAATGGTCTCAGTCACATCTTGTTTACTGCTTCTTCCCAACCTCCAGAGGTTGTAGTTGCCCTCAACAGTCATCCAGTCTACAATTAGATCCAGAGAAGACTGTCCACCGTGGTTGCGGTCCGTTGTCCATGAGCGGTTGGGACCTTGCGCCCGGCGTTGAGTAGTATTTGGAGCCCGAGTGTTTTGGCAAGCTGCCTGGGCATTGTGACAATGAGCTAGGTTGGAAGGAGCTTGATGAGCTAGGTCGGAAGGAGCCACCAAATTCTGGGAAGACATGGAGTGATTGAGGGATAATACAGGTGATTGATTGTTTGAGCGGGAGTTACTGATGTATGTGGGTGGATTGCAGGGAGGGAGCTCACAAGGAGGAAATATATATGTTTGACAAGGGTGGTGGTGTATGGTGGTACCGGCGGGTCTGGCGGTCAGGATGGTCAATTTTATTTCCATGGGCACTCTGGTTGAGGATGGTCAACTTGGTGTTATGGATGGGCAGCCGAGTCACGACTTGCCAGGACTTGCATCTCCATGGCGGCTTGGATGGAGGTGGGTTATGCATTTATGTCGGGTGTAGGGCAAAATGTTTTTTTGAGAAAAAATATGATTATTCATCTATGAATCTATACAAGCCAACTTTGAAAACCACTAATCAGACAACACCCAATATCAGGTACGTTTCTGATGCTTATCCTCTGAGTTTCTCATCCTCCTTTGTATTTTTCTATTGTTTTTATGGAATTATCTAAAGGAGTCATTCTGACCCCTGGTTTTTTCCGTCTTTATTCAGCTGTGCATCTTTATTTGCAATTGGAGCACGCACAAATAATGTAAACAACGGACTTTTGATTGAAGGTTTCTTTGATTACAATTCCAACTCACCTGTCACACAAATTTCACAATCCCCAACCAACTTCCCATCTGCTCAAACTCAAATCTCTTCTTCTTTTCACTTCTCACCTTGATCTCTCAAACCTCAGCTACCATAAATGTTTGTTCTTTATTATTTTAATCTTCTTTCATTAGAGTAATCAAATCTTCATTTTTTTTATCTTTTGACGGGTGCCGCCCCCAAGCCTCTGTCCCATAATCACTGATTGATTGATTATTTTGTTTGATTGGTTCCGCCACCAGTGTGGACACTTGAACTGTTAGTCTCTCTGCCACCAACATCCTCACTCAGGATCAAACCAAAACCAAAAGTTCTACCTTTTCAATGTTTCTCCATTCATACTTCTCAGATAGTCCAAATCTCATGATGCAATGAGGGAGGAAGGGGAATAGGGTAGCCAGGTTTGGCCATTTATGCTAACTTTAGTGTCAGTTTGGGCAGCGGTGGGCCGCTAGCGCTTTTTTTGCGCCAAACTTTTGTAGTGTTAGCGCTTTTGTAGCGCATTTTCGCTATGCTACGCTGCGCTACAGCGCTTTTAGCGGAAAAAGCGGCTAAAAACCGCTAAAAACGGCTGTAGCGCAGCGTAGTGGGCCCTTTTTTGTGGCCCACACGCGTAGCGTTAGCGGTGTCATGGCGGAATTCCGCTACGCTATGCTTAACGCTAACGGGAATTCTGCTGCGTTACGCTACACTAACCGCTACGGTTAGTGTAGCGGCCCACCGTTGGTTTGGGTAACACAGTGGAATTCCACAAAAAATTAGTGTAGTGGAGCCAAATTCTGCCACATCTGCACTAACACTGTTGTTTAGGCCCCCAAAAGAGCCCCCTATATTGCACTAATGTTCTGTTTAGTGGGGTTTTGGACCTGCAGCAGCTGTTAGTGGCTTTTAGCACAGCAAAAACCTGCTGATGGTGCAATAAAACTATGTGGTTTCTGTGCAAAAAAAATGCCACTACACTGATGCTTTTTTGGCAAAAATTGTAGAGGTCCAAAGTTGAGGGTTGTCCAGGAGAGGAAAAGTTGTTAGGTAAATTTATGATTTCTAGACTTAGTCAAGAGAAGTGGAGGTACTAATTTCTGTTGAAGGTGAAAATTTGGCAAGCAGATGGTTTATAAAGTTGCTTCTGGATGTGTGATTTATTGATCAAGGTTGAAAATTCAACGTTGGGCACCCATGGTACCATGGAGACATAATGAAAAATTATACCTTTTGCATCTTTATTCATTATGTTTGCAAAAGCAAGAATGCATTTGTGAATACAAACAGATTGTGATATGGCAAATAGGTGTAAACTGAGCTAAGGATCCATGTCTGAGGCTTGAGAGATCCTCTATTTATGCTTGCAGTCTATGAAAGGTGATCTTGTAGTGAGATTAAAAGAGAGAAATAACATGTAGATACAATTTGTCAAGCTAGATGGCAAATAATGGAGAACAGATATATGGCCAGAGAGCCGGGGGAGGATAACATACAATTATGGAAACAAGCTTCCAGTGAGAGATGCTAGAGAGATTACATAGAGAAAAAGAAGGAGTTACTGTTGTTGTTGACCACCAGGGTGGTTGTTTACTGTTTAAGGCAGGAGAATCAGATCAGGTCATCAAACATGTTCAGATGAGAAAGGCACAAGAACATGGGATAAAAAAGTAATGCAAATGGTGGCACAATCAAATGGCTTCCAATAGCCAGATATGGTGCTGCAATGAAAAAGGGGTTGGATTATGGCATAGGAAAGAGTGCAAATCAGAGGGAAAAGGTGTAGCCATAAAATATAAAACAGGATGGTTTCAAAGCATGAGAGAACCAAGACAGGGTCAGTAGGAGAATTAATGTCTCCTGCGCCATCACTAGTCATGGTACTTTTTTAGGCGGGGAGTTTGAGGCTTAATGTTCAACTTGCCAATATAAACCTCACCTGGAGGCTGTTTATTGTGGTGTTTCTTGAGCAATATGGAGACTGAATGGCTTCTCATGTTATCTATGTGTATCAAAATTACACTACAGGTGTAATTATGCATTTGAGTTGGTTTAAACTGACATTATTTTGTGTAGAATTATTTTAAATAAGAGGAGGGACAGAGCAACGCTGCCACAGATACGGTATCTGCCCATATCTGCCATGTATCACTATGTATCTGAGCCCCAATAAAAAAAAACTATCTGACCAATCTGCTTTTATTTGCAAGGAGATTCAACAAATTTGGTTTTTGGCCATGCAGCTTTGCAGAATTCTCCATGATACACACAGTGTATTGTATCTGTGGCAGCGTTGGACAGAGTACAGGGTGAGGATTCTTCTCAGCAATGCTTCATACATAGCAATGTGATCATCAAAAACTCACTTTCACCAGTGTTGAAGGTTCTCTCAAATCAATCCAGGTGATTGAAGAATCTCCTGGATCAGCTCCTTCTTTTGGCATGTGTCTTTTTAGTCATCAGAGGAGCAAATGTGGAACCAAATAAAATACAATAAAATGCTATTCTTCTAATTATCTAAGTTAGATCATTGAATGCTCCAAAGCCTAGCTTTTTTGGAATTTTTAACCTTGCACTTCAAATTTTTGGAGTGAATATTCTGGCACTCCACTCATATTTGGTATACACAAATAGTTCACTCCAATAATACTCTGCGTACACCCAAATTCCAAAGGCATTGGAGTGTAAAAGGTTTTGCTCCAAAAATATTTGAGTAGATCAGAGTACACAAAAGCTGAGAGGAAATCTATCAAAAAGAGAATGAATTTTCCAAAACTGGATTTTTACCCGATTATCAGGAGGGATACTTCTCGTCCTGAAGAACAGGAATTTCAATTCATTTCCAGGAGTAATACCTCTCAAAGAGATGGAATTGAAACAGTGTATAAGTCCATCTCTTCAGAATGAATCCTGACCAGTAAGCTGGTATAAGATCTGCTTGTTGGGAGGGATGAAAGCTGGTCCTACATGTAAAAATGACACACTTCAAGCAAGGATTTTGTATTATAGTTCATTCCCTCCTAGTCAACTATGTTTCTTATTATTTCAGGTACTTCAATTCATTTGGGTGCACATCAATACTAAATTTTGGACTGGGTCACTTTCATTCCAATTTTGGTGTGCACATAATGTTATTTGAGTGCATTAGCCTTGCAATCCAAAGATGATATGAGCACCTTGGTCTTCACTCCAAAGATGATTTGAGTTCCCAAGTCTTCAGTCTTCAGAGCAGTTCCACCGCAGCCCCTATTCCCGGTCGCTAAATGTTTTTGAATTTAGCGACCGGGCTACCAGCATGCGGACCCAAACTACTGCGGCATACACCGCTAGTGGCAAAAGCAGACCGTAAAAATTCATGAAAGGTTTATACCCGCCAGTCCCCGATCCCTCCTGTGCACAAGAAATTCATCTCATCAAAAATTTCTCCATTCCCTCACTCAAGATGGATCGTCTCACCCTTGTTCAGAATATTCTCACAACACAAGCAAATATCCTATCAAGTTCTATGCACCAAATCTCAACGGTTCTCCAAGGTGGGGCTGTAGCAGCTCAGGAAGTACTTCGAGAAGAACAGAAACCCAAAAAAGAAACTCCAAAGCGTGGTGGATCAAGGAAAGGACGTGCGCCTAACCTCCGACGGGACTTTGAAGGTGGCTATCAACGGTTGTATCACGATTACTTTTCGGAATCGCCTGTCTACACAGACTATCAATTTCGCCGGAGATTCAGGATGCATAAAAATCTCTTCTTAAAGATTGTCGAAGATGTTGAGAAGCACGATGATTACTTTGTCCACAAGGTCGATGCGTTGGGTAAACCTGGATTGAGAGGAATCCAAAAAATTACTTCATCCATACGAATCTTGGCTTACGGAGGTGCGATGGATGCAAATGACGAATACATACGAATCGGTGAATCAACTGCATCAAAGAGTCTTTATAGATTTTGTCAAGCTGTGATCGACTTATACAGCGGCGAGTATCTTCGAGCACCAAACGAGTCTGATGTCAAGCGATTATTGGCTGTTGGAAAGGATCGTGGATTTCCCGGAATGCTTGGGTCTCTTGACTGCATGCATTGGCAATGGAAAAATTGTCCAACCGCATGGCATGGACAATATCAGGGAAAGGAAAAGGTCACAAACTTCGATTACGCCTACTCTCTGCACCTTGTCAGAGTGATTAATTTTTTAAATTTTATTTTAGGTTCCAACTATTGTCCTTGAGGCAGTTGCCTCCTATGACTTATGGATTTGGCATGCCTTTTTTGGCATGCCTGGCTCAAACAACGACATTACTGTTTTGGACGCATCACCTCTCTTCACCAATCTAATGAATGGGGTAGCCCCACCATGTGAATATCAGATTAACGGGAATGATTATCATCAGGGGTATTACCTAGCCGATGGTATATACCCCGATTACTCCACGCTAGTCAAAACAATCTCGCAGCCACAAGGGCTTGAAAGAAAGGTGAGTCTTCCTCCAATAATTGTTCCTTGTTTCCTAATTGCTGAGCATATGTCACTTTTTTGTCTTCAGCATTTTGCCAAAATGCAGGAGGCCGCCCGAAAGGATGTTGAGCGAGCTTTCGGTGTCCTCCAGGCACGATTTGCAATTGTTGCTCGACCTGCACTTACATGGAGCACTGATAAGCTGCACCTTGTCATGAAGACGTGTGTCATCCTCCACAACATGATTGTGGAGGATGAGCGATGCACACACATCGATAACTTTTATGATTCCAATGCCTCATCTAGTGAAATAATCAGCCCAGATGCCGGAAGACGTGCAGAATTCTCCATCTTTGTGTTGTGCAGAATATGCAGAGGGATTAGAAACACAGAACTCCACTTCACCTTACGAAATGATTTGATTGCACACCTCTGGACTCGCAAGGGAAAACAAACTGAAGAATTGCTTGATTATTGCCCAGACCTCTAGATTTTGTTTCTCACTAGAATCATACACTTGTTTTTTTGTCACTAGATCATGCAAGTTATACCTGTCTGGATCTCTCTTTTTTTCTCATATACATAGCAATCCATAGATCCTCTGTGTCGGTCTCTTCCAGGCTTGCTCAATGAGGTCCCCCAAAGTGGTCCCAAATCCTCTTGATCTGGTACAGCAACGACACAATCCATGTAGAGCCCTATTGGTCTCTTGATGGATCTGAAGCAGTTGTAGCAACAACCAGCCTGATTTTTGTCGGTGTGAGATCAAGCAGAATCTCTTCAAGAGAGGTTCGGTGGGACAGATTGTGAGTGAGTGATCACTCGAGATGGATTAAAGACGTGATCGATGTGAGATGGAAAAATGAAACACAGTTTTTCTTGCATTGCAACAATCAAATCTCAGGTTAAAAAACAATCAAGCCGTGATAGGGGGTCAAATAAAGAACTACTTGTTTGATTCTTCAAGCCGAGCAAGTATCTTCTTCCTTTGGATCATGTAATACTTCTTCACATCTTCATCAGCCCCTGTCAAATCTTTATTCATAATTGCTTCATCAGCAATTCGTTGAAGGGCATCCTGCTGAGTCGACAGCATCAGTTGTTGATTCTTCACAGCTGCAGCTATATCGGTGTGGGCTGTTGCCATTTTTTTGAGGTTCTCGTGATTTGAAGCCTGAAGTTGTTGTTCTTGATAGGCTACTTTGGCCTGCTTTCGACCAATAGGACGAGCTGGCGGGCCGCTTACAGTCTCATCACCCGAGAGATCGGAGGTTACATCCGCGCTAGGGGTAGGAGTCGAAGTTGAGCTAGGTAAAGAGCTAGGTACCGAGCCTGCCAACGAGCTGGATACCTCATTGACCGTTTTTTTTTTCTTCTTGTTTTTCGATTCGTTTTTCTTATCCATGGAAGTATTATATTCATGCCATTTGGGGGCCTTTGACAGGAGATCGTAGCAAGATAAGTATGCAAAAGGCTTATTATTATTAAGCTTCGCATATAAGCTGAGAGCCATGGAGATCCAATTGCTGACAGTCGTTCCACTTGGATTTCGGTGGTTGATCTGGTTGACACATCCATGGAACTTGTTGATGGCTGCTTGTATCAAGCTCCAATG